AGGAAAAAAAAAAAAAAAAAAAAAAAAAAAATACACGAATAAACCTTGAGAAAAATGAATGCAGAAGCCTGGGGCTTTCCGGCCTGTGCTGGGTGGCTGGGACCCTCATCCCCGAAGGCTCACCTGTCCGCCAGGCTGCCAAACACGGCGGCCCCCACCAGCACCCCGGCCATGTAGATGGACTGAGCCAGATCGCGGAAGGTGCGGGCCTCACAGACCAGATCCCACTGCAGGGGAGAGAGGGACGCTCCAGCCCCGGCCTTGGCAGCAGCCCCCCACACCACCCGGCCCCCTCTGACCTCCATCACGATGGTGGATGGGAAAACGCTGCGGTCATAGACCCAGCCATCCTTGCAGCCCTCTGTGGCCACCCCATGGACAGAGGTGTTGGGGCTCAGGAGGGCCCATTGAGGCTCTGTGAAGCGTCGACATGGCTCGGGGGCCCCAAGCTGGTCCAGGGGTATGGTGGCCCTCAGCCAGGCCCCTGAGTCGTTGGTGGTGGCCTCAGTGCGGTTGTCGGAGCCCTGGCAGTGGTGGTGAGGCACAGCGGCTGTGAAGTTCTGCAGGAAGTTGTGGCAGGCCAGCAGGCTGCAGGGCAGCAGCAGCAGGGCTGTGTAGACAAGCTGGAAGCGGCCCACACCGCCCAGGGCGTCCAGCAGGTCTGTGAAGGCCATGGCCACAGGCCTGACACTGCCCAGCCTGCTGAGGCCTTATGTAAAGGGGCTGAGGAGGGGCCCTGGGAGGTGGAGGAATAGGCCAGGGGTTAGAACCACAGACACCCCAAGTCCGGCAGCTCAGAGGGCTCTGGTTACACCTCACGGGAGGCCTCGGGTGTCACCTCCCCCAGGCCCTTTCTCCAGGTCCCTCCACCTCTCATCTCCTGAGTTAGAAGAGCCAGGGGTCCTGGAGGGCTATCTCACAGCCCCCTGCCCTCACTCAAGGACCCCAGCAGTGCAGCAGCGCAGTCGCCTTTCCTTTCCTCCCGAGGCCATCATGAGGCATCTTCAGGAGCCCTAGTTCTGGTCTCAGCACATGAGACGCAGTCCCTTTCACTGGGCTCCAAATAGCAGCTGGAGCCTTAAGTGCTGAGAGGTCAGAATTACGGGGTGCCGGTGATCATGTCTGTTTGTCCCTCCCCTACTCCATGAGAAGTCAAGGATTTGGCTTCACAAGTGACGCTTGGAAAAAGTCCTTTAAAAATGCCCAAATAGGGCAGCCAAGAGGAAGCCCCACATCCCTACCCCTACCCCAGTGGCCCTCGGCCTCAGAGTCCAGGTGTTTGAGGGGTTAGAGCCCAAGATCACCTAGACCCACGGTGTTCCACCCCGTCGTCGTCATCGAATAAAATCCAACACAGAGAACAACTAGGGGGTTGGGTAAGAGGGTGGGGCCCAGCGCACGGCCCACCCTTCCCCCCACCCAGCACACACAAACCAGCCCAGGCTCCTCCCCTACTGAGGAGGACACTAAGGCCCAGCAGGACCTGTCCAAAGGGTGACAAGGGCAAAATGCAGGCTCAGGACAGCGGAGACCATGTCCAGGCAGCAAGCAGGGGCCTCCACCTCGGTCTCCAGCCTGGGCTGGGGGCCGCCACCCCCTTGTTCCTCAGCTTGTCCTACAGATGTTGTCACAGTTTGTGGCTCCATCCCCCCACTAGCCCCACCTCAACCACTCTCGTCTCTGATAAGAGAAGCTGGGATCCCAGAGGGGGCTGGAGTGGCTTATGTAAGCTGCAGGTGTCTGGGTCACAGGGGCCACCCTTCTCACCTGCCCCCCCAGGAGGACCTGAAGAAGGCTCTGTGCTCTGGGGAGCTCCCTAGGGGGTCAGGTTTGTGCTAAGTAGGGGTTTGAGTTTCAGCTGGAGCCTCACCTCATGGGGCAGAAGTGTGCAGGAAAAACGGGTCAGGCCACTGGCGCTTGAGGGGTGTGTGTAGGAGCTCAGCTGTGGCCCTGTCCCATCCTCCTGTACCTCCCAGGGCCAGAGGTGACCCCATCCAGATGCCCAGCACTCCAGCAGGGGTGCAAGCCTCCGGGTGATGGGAAAGGAGATGGAGTGACAGCAGGACAGGGATAGGCTGATGCCACAAGCTATCCCCACAGGCCAAGGCTTGCCGGCAGCAGGTTTGGGAGAAACACACTCCAGAGATAAATATGAGGCCTTTTTCTTTATTATTTGGGGTTCCACTGCATGGAAACATGGGACCTCCCCACCCCACGCCCAGTGCCTCTGGCACCCCCATAACCAGTACACCAGTCCCAGAAGAGTTCCTTTTAAAATCACCAATATAAAAAAGGAGGAAGGGAAGGCCTGACCACCCTTCAGGCTGGGCAGCTCCTGGTGGTCCGGCAGGGCAGGGCTGTGGGGCAGAGGGGGCACTGCCTGCTGCACAGGAAGGCACAGGCGTTCCCAGCTCCAGGGGCTATCCCAGCCGGGAGGGGGCTCCGCACGCCTAGATTGCAGCCTGTGCGGAGCTAGTGGTTATAGCTTAAAGTCTGCAGGTGAGGCCAGGTGGGTGGGAGGCCAGGTGGGTGGCCTCTGGAGTGAGAGGAGGGGACACATCAGGGGGACCTGGGGCTGTCAGTTCCCCCTGAAGTCCTGCCCTGAGGCGGGAATAAGCGGAAGCCGCCTTGTGGCATGCTGACAGGAGGGGCCAGGGGAGTCCATCCTGGGGCCGTAGCTGGCGCAGGCAGGGAGGCCACACAGCTCTGCCCGGGACAGATAAGCAGTGGCGGCTGAGAAGGGACGGGAGCACAAAGCCACTTCCCTGCTCCAAGGAAGGCACTTGCAGCTGGCACAGCCCGGTGTGGTGTGGCAGGAGGGCGTGGCTTGGCAGACAGGAAGGAGAGGGGCACAGCAAGGGGGGCCTGAGCCTCTGCCTCATGCAAACATGGTCAGCTGTAACCACTGCGGGCAGAGAGGAGACAGGTCAGCCGGGGCAGTGGAAGCAACGCTCAGCTTCCTCAGTCTCCCCCAACCTGAACCCTGAGTCTAGCCTCTGGCCCCACGGCTCAAGAGCCACCATCCCTTTGCCCCCTGGAAGGGACCCTCATGGTGGGGGCACTACTTTCTCACCTCCTCTACCCCCAGGAGACCAGGCTAATGGCTCCCACAGAAGCCTCTGGGGACCTGGGCCTCCCCTCCTGCTCCCTTCCCAGGACTTAGACACGCCCACCCCTGACTTCCAGGACTCAGGCAGCCCAGCCTATGCGGCTGCTTCTGAGGCCAAGGCTCCTGCCCAGGAAGCGACAGGAGATAAGAAAACTCAAACTCTTCCCCACCGTGGGCCCAGGGAGATCCCCACCTTAAACAAGTCAAAGGTCACGACTCCATCCAGATCTGTGTCCAGAGTTTTGAAAAACCCTGTGTGTTCAAGAAAAGATGACATGGGCTCAGAACTCAGAGGGACATTCACACAAGGCCAGGACTGGCCCCCTTCCTGCCTGACCCCACACCACCTCCCCAAGCTCTGTCATCTTGAAGCCGAGAAGCAGCTCTTCCTGCAGCCTGGGACCGGCCCCCTCCCATTTCCAGCACTTGGCCTCCAGGTGGCCAAGCCCAGAGCCCACCTGGCCCTCCAACCCCAGACCTCTGCCTCTCTGGACACTCCTGCTGCAGTGGCCTGTTTCTGCCATTCACCCATCTGTGGTTCCCACCAGTTCACGGGGGAAGCATTTGGGACAGAGCTGGAAGGTGGGAGTCAGTTGGGGACACTCACGGAACATGGTCTCCAGCCGCACCAGGCAGCACACAAAGTTGTCGAAGTCGACGGCCAGGTCAGGCTCGGAGTAGCGAGTGATAATGAGCTCATACAGCTTCTTGTTGAGCTTGAAGCCTGGTCCAGGAGAGTGAGTGAAGGCGGGGAGAGACGGGGAGGGAGACTGGGGCCTGGCAGGGTGCCTGGGCCTTCTCTCCTCCAGGGACAAGGGGCATGAAGACCTCCTGTGCAGGGCCAGGGGCTGGGAGGGGCTGGGCAAGTGACTGCCAGTCTGAGGGAGCACCAGGGCCCGGGTCATGCCAGGGAATCAGAAGCTGGTCAGAGAGGGCCCAGGGGTCTGGTTCAGTTTGTTCTGAATGCTCTGGCCTCGTCCTCAGGCGGGGCTGCGTGGTGAGCCCCACACCTCTCACTGGAGGCTCTGCAGCCTGGCTCCGCCCCTCCCCCAGCTGGGTGGCCTGAGGTCTGTCACTTTGCCTCTCTGAGCCTCACTTTCCTCATGTGCACAATGGGGATAATAAAAGATCCTATCCTCCTTAGGCCGCAGGGGGAAGGAAAGGAAAGAATTCTGGAAAGCACTTAGCTCAGTACCCACGGGAAAAGGGCAAAAAACAGCTGTTACTGCATCACCCCCATCACCCCAGGGACAAGGGCCAGTGGGATGGGCTGCTGCCCGGGGCAGGTGTCAGGGGAGTAGCCAGGGTGCAGGAGCGGTGGGGCCATGTGTCCAGGACCTCACCTGCAGACTCGATGGCCATCCGCATCTCATAGGCACTCATGCTGCCTGACTTGTCCAAGTCAAACTTCCGGAAGATGGTCTGGGGTGGGGGAGCAGAGAGTGAGGGCCAGGCCGAGTCATCCAGCTCTTCCTGCCTACCCCCCCGCTTGGTGAGGTTGGAGGGGCGAGGCCCGAGAGGTGGGTCCGTTGCTAGGACATGTGGGCTCAGGGGTGGGGAAGTCACACCCAGAGAGGCTGACCCAAGGTGGAGGGCCTGGCCCACACGGCCAGCCTGGGAGCCTCCGCCTGGCCTGTGCCCACTGTGACTGAGGCCACAGAGGGGAGGGGAGGACCCAGCCAGTGGGGACCACCTACCAGGTAATTCCGGATGCGGTTCCACAGGATATTGAACTCCACCAGGCCCAGCTTCCCGTTGCCATCACGCTGGTGNCAGAGAGGGCCCAGGGGTCTGGTTCAGTTTGTTCTGAATGCTCTGGCCTCGTCCTCAGGCGGGGCTGCGTGGTGAGCCCCACACCTCTCACTGGAGGCTCTGCAGCCTGGCTCCGCCCCTCCCCCAGCTGGGTGGCCTGAGGTCTGTCACTTTGCCTCTCTGAGCCTCACTTTCCTCATGTGCACAATGGGGATAATAAAAGATCCTATCCTCCTTAGGCCGCAGGGGGAAGGAAAGGAAAGAATTCTGGAAAGCACTTAGCTCAGTACCCACGGGAAAAGGGCAAAAAACAGCTGTTACTGCATCACCCCCATCACCCCAGGGACAAGGGCCAGTGGGATGGGCTGCTGCCCGGGGCAGGTGTCAGGGGAGTAGCCAGGGTGCAGGAGCGGTGGGGCCATGTGCCCAGGACCTCACCTGCAGACTCGATGGCCATCCGCATCTCATAGGCACTCATGCTGCCTGACTTGTCCAAGTCAAACTTCCGGAAGATGGTCTGGGGTGGGGGAGCAGAGAGTGAGGGCCAGGCCGAGTCATCCAGCTCTTCCTGCCCACCCCCGGCTTGGTGAGGTTGGAGGGGCGAGGCCCGAGAGGTGGGTCTGTTGCTAGGACATGTGGGCTCAGGGGTGGGGAAGTCACACCCAGAGAGGCTGACCCAAGGTGGAGGGCCTGGCCCACACGGCCAGCCTGGGAGCCTCCGCCTGGCCTGTGCCCACTGTGACTGAGGCCACAGAGGGGAGGGGAGGACCCAGCCAGTGGGGACCACCTACCAGGTAATTCCGGATGCGGTTCCACAGGATATTGAACTCCACCAGGCCCAGCTTCCCGTTGCCATCACGCTGGTGGCCATTAAGGAAACTGCATGGCTTAGAGCAGGCACGTGGGAGGCAGGTGGCAACTGGGGAGCAGGGTAGGCCAGCCACAGAGACTGCAAGATGACTTACAGGGGAGGGGAGAGGAGGAAGAAGCCACAAGAGCCACATGCAGCCAGCCCCTAACCAGGCTCGCCTCGTCCTCTAACTGGGTTGCAGTGGAATGGGGTGAGGAAGGGTCCAGAAAGGCACCAGACCTAGGGTCAATTGGGGACCCAGGACTTGCTCCACCTTTCGCGTGACACAAGGCCTCTGCCTCAGTTTCCCCTTCCAATCAACGGGAAGATGCCTGAACATGGGGCCCTGCAGCATTTACACTGCATGCAGCTTTGTCCCATCCTCTGCTGTTCCCAGGACAGTTCACCCACCACCCTTCTCGTGCCTACATTCTGACCCACACACCACTCAGGGGACAGCAAATGGAAAGATACATCCATGAGGTTCACCATGCTACGGCACGACTCCATGCTGAAGCCCTTGGTCCGCAGATCTTTGTCTGCAAGAAAAACCAGTTCCAACACCTCAACCCAGTGAGCTTCCTGTGCCTGCCCGCGCTGGGAGCACTGGGTGGGACGGAGTCAGGGCGGCACAATTCCTGCCCTGTGGGTAGGACCACTTCTATCATCAGAAAATACCAAGTATTTTAGCAATCAAGCCAGTGTCCCAACAGCCATGTCAGCACCCAGCGACTGATCCAAAGTAAAACGAAATGAGTGCTAGACAGACAGGAAAGAAATCTGGGAGAAAGACGGAGCAGGGGTGGGGTTTGCTGCAGGCCCTGCAGGGTCAGCAGAGCTTCACTAGAAGAGCAGAGGACAGAGGTTCTGGGCCAAGGGAACCGCATGGATGGAGGTCAGAGGAGCAAAGTGCCTGGGCCGTTCGGGGAGGGCAGAATTGCCATGTGCCACCAAGGCTGGAAGGAAGGGAAGGCTGGGGGCAGCTGCCTCCAGCTGTGCGCACTGGGGAGTGAACCCGTCATGTTCTTCCCCTCAAGCCACTTGGCCTGGCCCAGGGGTGCATCTTTGGGAGGACAGGGAGCCTTTTCCTTGGCACTAAGGTGCCGGCCGCTGGCTATGCCAGGAGCCTGCCGGGCTGTGCTTCTAACCACGAAGGTACGGAGCTCAGATGTGGGGAACAGGGATGCAGCAGGCTGGCTTGAGGAGTTAGGGGTGAAAATGGCGGTGAGCAGCTCTGAGAAAGGCAGTGGCGGGGTCCCCCACCCACATATACCAAGGGGTGGGGTTCAGCTCAACATGGGAGCAGAAACCCGGATCCTGACCCTCGCAGGAAATGGGGGGCAGGACCCAGGGCAGAGAGTAACCGCCTGGAGACTCACGCTTGCTAATGATTCTGTTGAGGATGGTCTGCAGCTCCTTGACACTGATCTCCATGTCCTGGGGAAAGAGGGAGGATGGCACCTGCCCCAGGGAGGACCACCCCTCGGTGCCCTCTCCTGCCCACCACCATGTCCAACCTACCGCCCCTGCCAGTTGCCTGAAGAGGGCCTTGAAGTTCTCGTCAATCTCCTCTTCTGAGAGCACTTGCTGGACCGAGAAGGGGAGGACAGGTAAGGGGTGCCCCAGCCCTGCCATGTGGCAGCAGCTGGCGGGGAGGGGGAGGGGTGCTGAGACCACTCATTGGCTACATGTCACTTCACTTCTCTGAGCCTCACTCTTCTAACCTGTAGAATGGGGATCCAGTCCCTGCCCTGGCCCCTGCCTAGGACTCTTGCGCCTCAATGAGGGGGGTACAGCTCAGCTCAGTGAGGGTTTGGATCCTCGATGTGTGACCTTGGACAAGTTCCTTAACCTCTCTGACCTTGAGTTTCCCATCCAGAGGGGACATCATGGCAGAACCTGGACAGGGCTGTTGTGGGGAGGAACTGGGATGACCCAGGTCAAGTGCTCAGCAAAGGCCCAGCAGAGTGAGAGCTCAGGGACCGCACACCATCGTTATCACAAGTCATTTGCAAACTGTGAAGTGCTGGGCAAATGGGGGGTTAGTATTACTCTCAAGGCTCCTGTCAGGAGGGGATGTGCCCTACTAGCCAGAGCTCATGGGACAGGACACCAGGTCCCATCAGGGGACAAGGACACCCGGGGGGAGGAGAGAGGAAGATGGCGCCTGGTGGGGGTGGGACCACGCACCTCGTCGGGGAGATTGGCCTGGACCTGGTCGTCTAGCTCCCTGCAGAGAGTGGGGAGAAGAAGCGGCGGGTCAGAGGGCACGGTGGGGGGTGCTGCAAGGGGAGGGGGAGAGCGGGCACAGTCCATGACTCACTGGGTCCCAGCGCTCTTCTCTGAGAAGAAGCGCAGCACGAAGTCGCCCTCCTTGTTGGGCTCGAAGGTGGAGGGCACCACCACGTACTCCCCGGGCGGCAGGCGGAAGCGGGTGCTGACCTCCCGCAGGTTAATGAACTGCTCCGAGCGTGCCCGGGACGAGTTGGCCAGGAAGAAGTCACGCTTCAAGTGCAGGGCCGGCTGGCCCACCATCTGGAGGGAGGCAGGAGGGGGCGGAGATGCAGCCGCTGCTCAGCCCCCCTCGGCCCAGACCCTGACCCCAGGCTCCAAGTCCCTGATGCCTCATCTGCCCTGGATTCCTCATCTGTAAGATGTGAGTGACCACCCTACCCACTGCAGAGGGTGGAGGCGAGCAGCAGTTGAATGCAGATAAGGCACAATTAAAACACCAGACACCATGTCAAGAACACTCTCATTATTATTACCTGGAGCTTTTCCCACATCAGACACTGCAGGGCACTTCAGATGTGCACCTCATTTAACGTTCACAATGGCCCCGTGAGGCAGTGCTGTTGTGCCCATTTTACAGATTCAAACACTGAGTCTCAGAGCTTAGGCAACTTGCTCAAGAGTACAGAAAACTCAGCCCGTTCAACACCCTGGTCCTAACCATTGCCCCAGACCCGCCCACTCAGCCCTCAGTGCAAACAGCCGGATGGGAAGAGCCTGGTGTGTGCAAGCCAGGCTGGGGCTCTGAGGACCAGGCTCCAGCCCAGCTTCCTCGCTGACCACCTGCTCTGACCCTCAGAAGAGCAACACTTGCTCTGCCTGCTGAACGGGGGCGGGGGGCGGGGAGTACTTTTCAAACAGTAACACAAGGTGATTTCTCAGCTCTCTACGTGTGGGTGGGTTTGCGACTGTGCTGCCGCCTCTGGGAACCATCAGGCCACTGCGTTTGAGGTCATGTAAATCCAGATGAGACAGGCGCCACACCTACCTCTGGAGGGACCTGCAAGAGAGAAAGGGGAAGTTAGAGATGTGTGTTTGTTCCAGGGTGGGGGGCAGGGTGTATGCTGGGCAGAGGTCCTGAGTTTTTAGATGGGAGTGAGGGGATGAGGAGATGGGAGACAGGACCGGGGTCTGGGGCCAGTGGTGACCCAGACCTATTCTCACACCAGAAAGTGACCCAAGGAGGGAGAGCCCAGGCAGAGTTCTCTTTCCCCCTGGAATGCCCTGGGCCCCAGCTCTGAATCAGAGCTTCCAAGACAGCCCCCAGGGTGGCCAACCACAATGTCCTAAAGCCCAGAGACATGACAGGTCCACACCGGTCTGCTGCCAGGGGCTCTGGGTGTGGGCCAAGGCTGTGGCCTTCCTTTACCCTGGCCAGAAGTTTCTGTCCCTGTTTTGAACACAGTGTGTGAAGCAGGGCAGGTGCAGGGCAAGAGGCAGGAATTATAATCACAGATCGGCCAGCACAGCCTCTCCCCAGGGCCAGGAGGCCGTCCCTGTCACACACCTCCATGCCAGCCTCTGCTTACACACTTCCAACACGGGAGCTCCCTAGTCCCCCAGGGCAACCCACTAGCCCACTTCCTTCTGAAGCTGAGCAGAAGTCTGGCCCCAGAAGCTGCCCCCCAGGTCAGCTAAGCCAGCCCCTTCTTCCCGAGAGCAGCATCCCGTCCTCGGAGGATAAGGGTGAATCCCAGAATCTACGCTCCCTGGAGCCAACTGCCTTCCCCTTCCCATCCCCACCCCTCACAAGATGAGTTGTAGGCCCCTGTCTGCAGCAGAGGGCTTCAGCTTGTACCTCCTGGAGGCTCCCTCTAGGGCCACCCCAGGGTGTGTAGCGCCCGCTGGGCTCAGGATGGGCGGGCAGTGGCCGCAGCGATGGCACAAGCTCTCTTGCAATAGGAGGGAGGCCAAGTTCTCTGCCCGGCTCAGTACAGATCCTGGGCTCACCTCATAGACCGCGAAACCGATGGTCTCCATGTCGCGGCCAAAACGGCGCTCCCGGCGGCGGTGCTTCTGCATGAGGGCGAGCACGAAGCTGCAGCCAGACTCGCGATCCCCGTAATCATCTGGGTCATCCACCTCCTCCAGCCGGATCTTGAACTGGGGGTTCACCCAGAAGGTAGCTGCAGAAGGGGGAGGCAGGGATCAGAGGCAGGGCAGAGTGGAGCAGGGACCCCCGAAGCCTCACACACACACATCTCCATGTGTCCATCCATTCATTCAACAAATATTACTAAGTGCCCATCATGTGCCAGGTGACAGGTATGCAGCTGGGACAGACGCAGTCCCCGCCCTCATGGGCCCACATTCCAAAGGAGGAGGTGTACGTATGAGCGAGTCAGGTGGGCTAATTAACAGAAAAATTACAAAGAAAAGCAAGCTGAGTGGTCAGGGAAGGGGACATGTGAGCTGAGACCTGAAGGGGCAGCCAGAATCATGCTGAGAAGCATAAACCAACCAGAGAAAGATCCTGGAACAGAGTGGGGAAGAGCCCCACACATCATATCAGGGGACAGTGAGTGTCTGGTGAGGTGACAGAGGCAGGTAAGAGTTGGTCATGTGGATTGAATCAAAGAGCAAAAGGATCCCACTGACGGGCTCGCAACAGGGAAGGACATGACTGAATTATAATTCTAAAAGGTGACTGGAGCTACCGTGTGCACAATGATCTAGAAGAGGACGAGAGAGAAAGCAGGGGACACAGAGCCGACAAGGGATGACCAGGACTTGCACTGCTGGCAGTTTGATGCTTCAGCTGCCTGAACAACCCTCTTTACTAAAACAACCAAGTGCTGGAGAGAATGTGCCAGACTTCTTTTTAAAGGCACTGATAAGCCACAGCAAACGGCCTGTCCCCCCTTTGCCACAACTGCCACCAATCAAAAAGATAAACAGTAATAAGTGTTGGTGAGGATGAGAAGAAATCAGAACTCACGTACCGCTGGTGGGCAGGCAAAATGGTGCAGCCACTTTGCAGAGCAGCCTGGCAGTTTCTCAAAAGGTTAAACACAGAGCTACCACACGCCCAGTCATTCCACTTGTACGTATACACCCAGGAAAAATGAAGGCATACATCCACGCAAAAACTTGTACACGAATGTTCCTAGCAGCATTATTTATAATAGCCAAATCGAGGAAACAACCCAATTATACATCAACCCAATTACAGAGCCCAGAGATCTGCACAGAGCCAGGTAGAGAGCCCAGCCCCCGGCCCAGTGCGGGCGAGCTTGCGCCGTGATGAGTGAACAGACAAAATGCATATCCAAACAATGCCGTATCATCTGACAACAAACAGCAGCAAAGCACTGATACCTGCTGCAACGTGGGCAAACCCTGAAAACATTATGTTCACTGATGAAGCTGGTCCCCAAAGAACACATATTGTAAGATTCCATTTCTATGAAATATCCAGCACAGGCAAATTCATAGGGACCAAAAGTAGATGAGTGGTGGCCGGGGGCTGGGGGGAGGGGAGATGGGGAGTGACAGCTGAGGGGTACACGGTCTCTTTTTGGGATAATGAAATGTTCTGAAATTGATGTGGTGATGGTTGTACCACTCTGTGAATATGCTAAAAGCTACTGAATGGAACACTTTACATGGGTGAATTGTATGCTCTCTGAATTAAATCTCAATAAAGCTGTTTTAAAAAAAATGAAAATTAGGAGCCCTACACAGGAAATAATGCCAAAGGACTTCTGTGGTCCCCTGTGTGGAGGATACTAACATCACAGGGCTTTAAACTTTAGCTTAGTAGGACCCCAGTCCTTAGCTGTCAGAAGGGCGAAAGCCCTTTAGTTTAGGCTGTAGCACCGTGGGGCTACGGCCCTGTAGTTTTAGCAAGGCCAGAGCCTTGTAGCTTAAGAATAGCCTAACCTTTTAGTATTGCACATAGAAATGCTAAGCCAAGGACAAAACAGAAAACTTTCACAGGACTGAAAAGTCTCTGGTGTGGATATGAAAATTGTAACACAGCAAAAGTGCTTGCTCTAAGGGCAGATGCCCTTGGGGCAGCTAAAACTAATGATGGGAAAATATGTGCGCTAAAAGCTTCAAGGCTACTCTGCCATTAGTGGTTGGTCCCATATTCCGCCTTCGGCAGCTGTTTCTTTAAGTTTCCTAGGGAACTAAGTGTTGCCATAAAGATTATCTCATTGGTTCTTTTGTATGTCACATAGCCTAGTTTTATGACTCCTTCGATGGCAAATTGCTTAAACTATTTTTAAGCTGCACCTGCTTTAATGAAAATTGTCAGGTAGCCAGTTTATGTTTTCAGTATGAACTGATTAACCACCTGTGTTCTTTTCTGTAACTTTCTTGCCTGGACAATAAAAATGGACAGAAAACCTAGTTCGGGGTTATCTCCCAGGAATTCCTTCTCTCTTGAAGAAGTCATCTCCTGGAATTAACCCCTTCTGGGCCTCTCCCCGCTCTGGGCAAATGGGCTCTGAGTAATCCTTTGCATCTCTGTCACCCTGGGGGAGAGATGACACTCTGGAAACCCTAAGCCCTGGACAAAGGGGCAGAAGATAAAGTCCAGGATCTGCCTGAGGTAGAGAATCTAATCGGAGAGTCCTGCAATAAAACTGGGGTCCTCATGAGGAACATAAGCAGTTAAGTGTAAAAGAAAAATACATCCCACAGGAAGGAGGGAAAAAATAATCATGAGCCAGTCTTCACATGACCTTGTGGTTTTAATTCACACTGCCTGTGAGGTCAAGGAAGACTTAAGGAGAAAATTTAGTTTTAAAAGGGTCCTGGTGGGGCCGGCCCGGTGGCGCACTCGGTAGAGTGCAGCGCTTGGGAGCGTGGCGGTGCTCCCGCCGAGGGTTCGGATCCCATATAGAGACCTCCGCTCACTGGTTGAGTGCGGTGCGGATGCGACACCGAGGGTTGCGATCCTGTTGCCGGTTGCGGTACGGGCGTGACACCAAGGGTTGCGATCCCGTTACCGGTCACGAAAAAAGACAAAAAGGAAAAAAAAAAAAGGGTCCTGGGGGCCCACCCCATGCCGCACTCAGGAGAGTGCGGAGCTGGGAGCACAGCAGCGCTCCCACCGCGGGTTTGGATCCTATGTAGGGATGGCCGGTGCGCTCACTGGCTGAGCGCGGTGCGGACGACAACAAGCCGAGGGTTGCGATCCCCTTACCAGTCACAAAAAAGACAAAAAAAATAAAAACAAAATAAATAAAATAAAATAAAAAATAAAAGGGTCCTAAGTTGGTAGCTTCCCAGGTGACCAGCAGAAACACTCTGGAGGAACTTAACTTCATCTGAGGACTCAAAGAACTCTCACAGATGAANACTATGTTTAAAGAAATAAATGAGAAGCTTGAACATATGAGCAAGAATGAACAGATTTGAAAAAAATCCATTAAAACTTCTAGAAATAAAAAACAATTTAATTGAAACTAAGTACTTGTTGGAAGGATGAGCCAACAGATTTGACGCAGCAAAAAAGAAAATTAGGAAATTGAGAATGGAGCTGAGGAAACCACCCAGAACATAATCCAGAGAGATTAGGAGACGGAATATCTAAAAGCAAGGTTAAGAGATACAGAGAATTGAGAGAGAAGGTCCAGCTTACATTTGATTGAACTTCCAGAAGGAAAAAATAGAGTAGGGAGGAGGTGATCTTCTAAAAGATCACAGTTAAAATTTTCTAGAATTGCTTTTTTTTTTTTCCTTTTTGTCTTTTTTCGTGACCGGTAAGGGGATCGCAACCCTTGGTGTCACGCCCGTACCGCAACCGGCAACAGGATCACAACCCTTGGTGTCGCGCCTGCACCGCGCTCAACCAGTAGCAGACTGGTCTCTATCTGGGATCCGAACCCTCGGCGGGAGCGCCACCGCGCTCCCAAGCGCCACACTCTACCGAGTGTGCCACCGGGCCGGCCCTTTTATTTTTTTATTGAAACATAGTATATATTAGAACTGTTGAAAGACATCAGTTCAGATGCAGGAAGTTCAATAAATCCAAAGCAGAATAAAAATAAATCTACACCTGAACACATCATGGTGAAACTGCAACATATCAAAGAAAAAAAATTAAGGATTTTTTTTTCAGAAGGCCCTGTAGACAGACAGACAGACTCCTAACTCACGTAGCAACCCTGGAAGCAGAACCAGGAGTAAGTCTCCAGCAGGCTGAAAATAATGTCAATCCAGAATTCTATGTTCAGAGAACTGTCAAGAACAAGCACACTATAAAGGCATTTTAGACAAATACTGAAAAAGTTTATCACCAAAGACCCTTACTAAAAGAAATATGAAAGGTATATTTCAAGTAGATGGAAATGATCTCAGATAAAAGGTCTAAGAACGGTGAATGAAAATACTATTATTTCGTGGGTAATCCAAATAGATAAGGGCTATCTGAAATGATGGTGATATTTAATTTATGGCAGGAAAAAACTGTTTAGAATTAAAATACTGGCTAATAGTAGCATATTCAACTGAGGGAGGGTGCGATCCCAGTTAATGTCTTTGCATTGTTCAGGAGAATGGTAAAGATTCCGATGGACTAACTTGTGAATGTAGTAAGCAAACTCTTACGTTTCCCAGCTCACAGAGGAAAAAACTAGTAGAGAGAGAAGAAAAAAAATCAATACAAAAGGGAGCATGACAGAAGAAACAGAAAATAATCAACACAGTAATAAATACAAATACATCAGTCATCACTGTGAGTGCCAATGGACTAAACTCTAATTAAAGGACAAAATTTTTCAGACTGGATTATCAAAAAGCCAGCTATATATGAAAAGACACATCATAAAAATATGAACCAAAAGAAAACGGGGGGCTGGCTGCTTAGCTCGGTTGGTTAGAGGGCAGTGTTGTAATATCAAGGTCAAGGGTTTGGATCCCTGTGCTGGCTGGGTGTCAAAAGAAAGAAATGAAACAGCAAAAGAAAACTGGAAGAGCTATGGCTGTAGTAACACTGGCTGAAATAGACTTGAAAGTAAAACAAATTATTAGACATGAAGGTGATCGCTAGATAATGAAAAAAATGTTTAATTCACTAGGAGCTTATAACAGTTCTAAACTTGAGGCACCTAATATCATATCTCAGAATATATTAGGTCAAATAATTGATAAAAATACAGAGAGAAACCAGCAA